TCCTGGTGGGTCCAGAGTGGTTTAGGGAAGGCAGAGGTGGAGCCCCAGCCCCATGGGATACCAAAGCTCTCATTCCTGCACGGCTGCTCTCTGTGCCACGATGGCACAGCTTTTTATGGCTTCACCACCTTTCTTTGTCCACTCAGCACAGTCTGCTTCTGTTAGTTATGGTTTAGATCAGGGGGTTGTAAGGAGCCCAGTGTCAGCAGACCAAACCCAATGTACACATCTCACCAGCACATGGATTTGAGCCCATCTTACCATACATGGATTTGCACCAGACAGCAGGTGCCCAGGGCTGAGACTGGATTCTGTGTTGGTCCTTGTGTTCACAGCAGCTTTGCTAAAATTCATGCTCCCCTCTCTTGCCCTCCTGCTGGGGAAGCAGCTAGCAAGATGCTCCTTTTTTGCCCTGTCTCTCTCCATCTGCCTCTCCTCCAGACAAGTTGAGTGTGATACTTGGCTCCCAAATCCTGCTGCTGAGAGCAGCCTGGGATGATGGCAGATGCCTTATGTACCTAGATCCAGTGGCACAGGCCACAGGCAGCCCACTCCAGCTCCATGGAGCCTCTCCTGGCTGGGCCAGCAGTCGGTGCCTGGGTTCCAAAACTCCCCTGTTCCACTGTTAATTACCCTCCATCGCTAGGATTTTGTAGCTTCTCCTTGAGTCTGAGTTTGTCCAGCTTTCAGCCTTTTCTGTGTTGTTTTTCAGCTCACAGAGTCTGTGTTGTCTTTTCTCCATCACAGATCCTTTTCTTTTTTCCCTGAAAAAAGTGAAGTTGGTTCAGTGTGTTGTTTCCCACCTGTTTCTCCCCTCCTTCCCTAGAATAACATTCCGTGCCCAGAGTTACTTACATTTTAATTATCATTAACAAACTGTGTTAAATGCAGAGGGTAAAAGGCTGGGATGGGTTATCATGTGATCTGTGCCCACGGAGAGGGAGTGGGACCCTGAGTGATGGAGGGCAGAGGAATGAGCTCCAGCCCTGGCCTGATTCTGACTTTCCACCCAGCTGGACCCTGCAACCCACTCATATCTCCAAGGCCAGGGCAGACCCGATGCTGAAAGCTGACAGGAGCATTGTTTCCCCCTCACTTTACCATCTTTTATTCATACTCTTGTAGCCTGCAAAATGATTCCCCGGTTATTTTAGCATCTCTAATTAAGGGGAAGGAACTTCAGTGGCTGAAAGGAGGGGTGATGGGCCAAGAGGGCTCCTTTCTGCTGAGCTCAGCCCCACGACAGCCAGCCTGGCCAGGACGGACATCTCTCTCCAGCGTGGGATTGAGTAACTTTCTGGAGCACTCTGTGCTTTTAGACTCTGTGCTGGGGAGGTGACTGTTTCTCCTGGAAGCCGAGGGTCTTCGCCCAGCAGCTCCTCTGTGCTTAATTGCTGGCCTGCACAGCAAATGCGTTTGCTGGAAGGGTGCAGAAATCTCTATGGCAAGGCAGAGGCTCAGCACTTTGCTAATCTTACGGGGGCTGGGGAAGGCAGTCCAAGCAAGCCAGAGATGTAATGTCATGTGTGGGGGAGAGAGGGAACAACAGCTCCTGACAGCCAGAACTCTCTGTCTGGGTACATGGGGGAATCTGTGCCTGCCCCATCCTGACACCTGATACCCAAGGACCTCGCTCCATTTTTCTCCCTTCCTCACTCCTGCTCCAGACCATTTTGTTCCTCCTCTGGGTACCCCCACTCCAACCATACAAAGGAGCTTCCCAACCTGCATCCTGCCCACAGGCCCCGTCCCCACAGCAGGGCTTGCCAACTCTCTCCTGCTCACACACCCCACCCTCCTTCTGAAATCCTCCTGCACCTCCAGCCCTGCCAGATCCAAACTCCTGGTGTTTGTGGTACATGGCAGGCGAGACAATGTGTCATGGGATGCCCTGGAGATGCCTTCTCCAGACATGGTGTTGTGTGCATGCC